GTAATGCATCACCTTTAAATCTCAGTTCGAACTTTGAAAAGTCCTTCTTTGGCACAGAAATGTAAGGCGTTATGTTTCCACAAATATTCCAGAGTTCCTATCTTGACATGCAAACGAGCACAGACAGGCATCATGTTCCAAACTTTGTATTGCATTTCTGCAGATATATTTTTCATGGACTATGATCCAATAGGATCAGTGGCCAAAAACCAGCCAAGAACTGCAGTTTTGACTTTGTGGGTCTCATAAGCATGGCGCCAGTTCTGTTTAGAACATAATATAACTAGGTGTCAGAAAGATTGTGTTGAGTCCAAACAGGATAAAACTCCCACAGTGCAAATACAAAAATGATTGTAATGCATCAAATGCATATCTCAAGTTGTCTGATGTCATAGAAGACATGACAATTTAGTGGACAGTGGGTGAAAGAGGTAGGATTACATCAAACAAGGTGGTGATCCTAAGGACCCCCTGCTAACCAGGGATTTCTGCACAAAGGTGCTCCTTGCTTCAGAGGCGTATCTACTGAAAATAGTGCCTATAGCGATCACTGAAATTGTGCCTCTCGTGACCGCCCTGCCCAAACCATCTGATACAAGCAGGATGTAATGTGTGTGATGTTGTGTGTGATGTGTGCTGGCTGTATGTAATGTGTTTGTGCGGTGAGCTGGCTGTATATAATGTCTTTGTGGTATGTGGTGGCTGTTTGTCATTTATGTTGCCATGCTCTGTGTAGCCCCCCTTGCTTTCTCTTTCTTTAAGAAAGGGGAGCTATAACCCTTGTGGTCCAATGAGCGGGGCATACTTCCTGGTGGTCCAGCAGGGGTTAACTCTGCCTGGTGTTCCAGCAGGGTCCTGAGTCCCTGATGGTACATTTGCAACACCAGCAGATGCAGACTCTATTGCTTCCTCGCAAATTAGCACCTCAGCAAGTTAAAGTGCAAGCAGGGAACATGCAGAGGCCCTGACTCACTAGAGAGTGCCATACCACAAAGGAGTCTGCACCACGGTAGGAATAAAAGAATAAACCAAACTGCCTGGCTGTTCACAGCCTTTAAGTGGCGCCAAGGGCATGTGACATACCTGCCGTACCCTAAGTATGCCTCTGCCTTGCTCTTTATCTGTTTTGGGGCTTTCTTTGGATTAATATCATGGAGCAAGTAGGGTCCCCACAAGCCTGAAAATATATGATGGCAAGGAAGATGTCTTTGTAAAGTGACTTCTCTGTTATCCTATTAAAAACCTTTTTAATGGGTGTCTATTTCAATTAAACTCATCTCAGAATGCTGGATTCACCAAATTTCAGATTTGTTGTCAATAAATATATACACATAAAGGTTTGTTTAACCCCCAATAAATGAATAAAGAACTGCCAATGGTTAACGCTACTGGTAGGGACTCCACTAAGGCATTAACAGTGCCAGTGTACATTTACACAGCCTCAGACATATACTGGCTAATAGATTTAAAAAAAAATCCTTTTATATGGTCGTTTAGTGTATTCAGGTTCATTATAATTAACACCTTTAAGTTACTTCCTTGAAGTAAATAATTAAAATATAATTTTTATTACTTGTAAGTCATATAAAAGAGTCATTTAACTGTGATAGTTCACGGTACACATGTTTGCAAAACAGAGAGTACTGAAAGATCACAGTATTTGTTTCTTCTCTTAATTGAAATCTGTAATGAGCACAAAACATCACACATTTTTTTCCCTTTGCTTTTTTTAAATAGGATTTCCCTTCAGCCTGTTTTCTTAGCACAACTAGATTAGAGGTTTGTTAACTATTGCAAGGCAATGATCAGTGTTACTGGCACTTTGCAGAGCAGTTCTCCAAATCTCAGTGCAGTGCTGAAATATACATCTGTCCAATATTAGTAAGAGTAGTCAAATCATTTTAGGAAAGTCTGATTTCTTAACTGGGGTCCAGTGGAGCCAGAGGTTTTCTGTCTGAGCTAAGCCCGGCGGTGCAGGTGGTAGCTTGTTGGCTGAGAGTGAACAATAAGCTTGGCCTGCAATGCAAAGCTTAGCTGAGGACAGTTAATGGAATCTCCTAGCAGGAGCTTCCGTCCTGAAGATAGGTGATGAGCAGTGCCCAGCGAACTCTGGATAATAGCTCAAATAGTTCTAAAATGGTTTTGCTTATGGGAGGGTGCCAGGGCTGCACGCTAAACAGGTTATTGTACCTGGAGTGTTCCTGTAACTTTACAAAGTCATATAAAAAAAATACATAATGCAGAGATTTGCATTACGGGAAGCCAGTGTCCTGGTTTTGATTCTCTAGGACTCCTTGGTGGCATTACATTTGTATAATGCATGCAGCTCTGCTATGTGGCACACAATATATTTATATATGGACATATAATAATATAAAAAGGTAATTCATATTTTGGTCTTCACATCGCATGGTAGGTGACCCATAATACGTGGTTTGACGGTCACCATGCAGTGTGGGATCTCTGATCCGAGGAAAACACAAGGACATACATACCTAAGATTAGTGGTAGTTATGGTCCCGGATAGCATCTGTTTTATGCAACTTCCTCTACTTTATTTCAGCTCTTATCTAATAATGATATGTCTGGGGAAGCGTTGAAAAGACAGTAGCAGTGTGCTGTTGAGAGAGGGACAAATTATTTGGTAAACTACAAACAGAAGCTGCTGCTTGCTAGCGTAACACCCATAATCTCAGCAGAATGGAACATATATCTTTTATTGTTGCCCTGGCACTAGCCCAGAACACTAATATTAGTCTTAATCCTAGCCCACACCTAACACTAGACTTTTTACTAAGGCACTAACTCTAGCCCTAAAAAAATGTAATATTAAAGGATCACTATAGGGTCAGGAACACAAGCATGTATTCCTTCCCTATAGTGTTAAAACCACCATCTAGTCCCCCTGGGCCCCTCATGCCTCCATAAATATAGCAAAATCTTACTGTATTCAAACCAGAAGCTGTAACTCTACATGCTGTTTGCCTCCAAAAAACAAGCAGTCTGCTGACATTAGCAGAATTGGTAGCCTAATCCAATCACAGTGCTTCCCCATAGGATTGGCTAAGACTGACAAAGAGGCAGATCAGGGGCAGAGCCAGCAAGATTCAAACACAGCCCTGGCCAATCAGCATTTCCTCATAGAGATGAATTGAATCAATGAATCTCTATGAGGAAAGTTCAGAGTCTGCATGCAGAGGGAGGGGATACTGAATGTTTGGATGCATTTTAGGCAGGAATGACCCAGGAAGGATCTCCAACAGCCATCTGAGACAGTGTTTATAGCAAAAAGCCTGAAGGTAATGATTCTACTCACCAGAACAAATGCAATAAGCTGTCGTTGTTCTGCTGTCTATAGTGTCCCTTTAACCCCTTAAGGACACATGGCATGTCTGACATGTCATGATTCCCTTTTATTACAGAAGTTTGGTCCTTAGGGGTTAAATCATACATTAGGGGAAAATAATGCAATCTCTGGGTTCTTATGACATTTAGTATCATGGTTTATTAAAATTTCTCCAGAACCACTCTAACAATAAGGCCGTCAAGGGGTATAATAATTTAGATTAGTGTTTGTGTAGATTAGTGGGAGTTACAGTCTCAAATAGTAGCTTTTTTTTATGTAATACTGAGTGGGCGGATATGACCACAGCTGCTGCTTGTGAACGTAACTTTCACTAATCTTTGGCTGAACTGAACATGAACGGCACAGAGGTATAATGTTCTAAAACATGGTAAAATAATGATACATTGAATTATTAGTATATTATACATTAAAGTGGGAAAGCCGAATACAATAACTTCATCCTGTTCTCAGGTATAAGTAACTGTGATTTCTCTCCTTATACAGGTGTATTTAATCAAGTAGTCTTTCATTGCTTTAAAGCTTTAATAATAGCAATTCCATAGAAGGAATGGGAGATTCTTCTCCGAAACCCCCTATACCTCCACCCCCTCCAAAAATGACACAGAAAGACGGCGAAGATTGACTTTTATTAACCAAAATATAGAGAATAAAATGATTGAATAGAGAACAAGTTTTCGTTTTTTTTAAATCCCATTACTAGATTTACATGTCTATTCGACTTCTATATAATTAAGGAAGATGATCAAAAGCTAAAGAAAATTATATCTTTCATAACCGTCCAGCAGTTGGCCGTTTCTAAAGATTTCTAACAGCAAAAAGGAGGATCTTGTCAGCAGGAGGCACTTCTGGTAATTAGTTGTGGTTCCTTTTGATAACCAGAAGGAATGGAGAAGAGTATATCATTCTGAAGATAGAACACTGCTCAGTTATCTTCTGATGTCACCCAATAAATGGAATAAGTCTTTTCTGCATTGAGGATCCCATATTTTAATCATCACATATAAACACAAGGACGAATGGACATCTAGCAAAGCCAGTGTCGCAAATGGAATAGGCCTATTGGTTAGCTCTTTAACCCTTGTAATGCAGGAGGTCCTTTAACCCTTTAAGGACACATGACATGTGTGACATGTCATGATTCCCTTTTATTCCAGAAGTTTGTTCCTTAAGGGGTTAAGAAAAGTATTTTGATACTCTTTTCTTGAAAGATGAGCATATGCAATGATAAGAATGAAGATATAATTGTAGCATAGTTTCTGCTAGCATGGTATTCCTTAAAGGGTTACTCCAACAGAAAGCACTGCTTTTGGTCAGATTAACTTTCCTATACTGCCCCCCCCCCCCAAAAAAAAAATGAAAATAAGAAAATATATAGCTAAAACCTACCTATTTTCCATCCCTAGGCCCATGTTCTTGCTGCAGCCCGATACTCCTTGACTGATGTCACTCTCTCACTCGCCAGAGGATAACGGATGTCAGGGAATGCAAAATGAAGGGGAAAATGGGCCCCTATTGGTTATCTGGTCTAGAACTCTTGCTCCTGGCTGGCTAATGACACCCTAATGATGTGGCCAGGTCTGGCAGCAGAATGGTTAAACTCTTTATGTGCAGTGTTTCACAGCAAAACACTGGTCATACAGACCTCAGGCACCATGACCACCTCAAATCTCTTGTAGCATTTTCGGATGTACACCGAAAATGCTACAAGAGATTTGAGGTGGTCATGGTGCCTGAGGTCTGTATGACCAGTGTTTTGCTGTGAAACACTGCACATAAAGAGTTTAACCATTCTGCTGCCAGACCTGGCCACATCAAAAGGCAATTATCTTTACTATGGAACTCTGCAAAGTTTAACTTATTACACAAAAGATTTAAATATAACAACATGGAGAAAGAAAGGATTAACAAAAACGCGTCATTTAATAGCAGGCTCAGCTATACATCAATTCCCAGATATACAAATTAAATACGATCTTCACAACAGGGAACTCTATACATATCTCAGAGTGAAACACATTTTAATGAAACTTCAAGTGAAGGAGGTGGAAAATTCTAGGGTGAATGACTTTGGAAGGCTATGCTTGGGGAGACGACCCCAAGATAAACCTCTATCAATAAGCTACAGAGGAATATTAAATTTAACAAAACCAGATAAATTGCCTTTCATGTTAAATTGGGAGAAGGAGCTAAACAACGAGTGGGAGCCCTTTAAATGGTATAGGGCTATGAGATCAACTAAGGCTGCCACACATAATATACAACACATAGAAGCAACATACAAAATGTGGCTACGGTGGTACATGACGCCACAAAAACTGGCGCAAATATATCCAGAGAATGTGGGGACATGTTGGAGATGTGGGGAAATGGAAGGATCTATGACTCATATATTTTGGCAGTGTAAAAAAATTATTGATGTATGGAAACACATACAACAATTAATTTTTAAAGTTACAAACACATTGATACCCCTGCAACCAGAAATATTCCTACTACACATTATGCCAGAGAGAATATTGCCACAAGAAAAAGTGTTAATTATACATATTTTGATGGCTACAAAAAATGCTATAGCCAGTTTATGGAAAACAAAACAGGTACCATCATTAAGTATAATAAGAGAAAAGATCTCTACTACAAAAATTTATGAGGAAATGGCATATAGGCTAAAAGGCAAACAACACATTTATGAAAAAATTTGGGTGAGGTGGAAATGAAATGAGAGGAAATTAAAAGAAAATAAGGGGAATGAAACAAGCAAAATAGTCTCATTAATACAGACGGTAAATAAAATTTAGGTGGTACAAAACAAATGAAGGAAGAGGGAAGGGAAGAGAGACGAGGGAAAGAGAACGAGAACAGGAAAAAACAAAAAAAAAAAAAAACAGATTGATATAGACGTTTGATATGGAATTCTATAAATTAAATAAAATTGGAAATGTAGACTTATAAAAGGAAGAATTACTATAATTGTACTTTTTTATTTCTAATTTATATATTTATCTATATATATATTTTTTTTTCTTTCTTTTCTTTTTCTTCTTTAGAGAGGGAGGGATAAAAATTTACTTTATACATATCCTGATTCTTGTAATAAATTATCTCAGAGGGAAAAGGAGAAAGAAAAGAAAAAGAAAGGGAGAAAGGAGAAAAAGAGAAAGGAAATGTTTATTGTAAAAAATAATTCAGTGAAAAGATATAAAAAGCTGTGTTACTGAAGCCGAAAATAAGTTAGAAGAGATTGTAAAAGATAGTAATAGAATATCTTGAATTGTGAATGGTATCTCTCTATTTCTGTATATATTTTTTTTTTTCTATTTTTTTTTTGTTTTTATTAATTTTTTATTTATTTATTTTTTTTTGTTATACTGATGCACAGTGTTGTGTTTTCTCTGTAATTTGAAAAAGTGAAATAAAGATTTAAACATGAAAAAAAAAATCAAATCTCTTGTAGCAAGAGACAGAGAAGGCATAATGCAGATTAAATGAGATACGAGACATAGCTACATGTACACTATTCTAAAGTTCTACACTTTATAATTGCGAGTTGTGACTATATAGAATCTAAGAAGGAATATGCTAAAATGCTGTGTTGACACTTGTATTATATCCCAAATTATTCAGCATGTTCCACCTGCTTCTTTACGTACATACAATGGATAATAGATTTACAGAGTAATAGGTTTGTCTGCTGCTCGACGTCAGTGCATATGAGCTGAGATAGCCTACTCAAGCAACTTTTCTTATATTGGACTTTTTCCATTTCTTTATATTTATTTTATATTCTTAGACATAAATGTATTTCTGGTAATAAGCTCTAAAGTGGTCTCCAGATCAAATATGACAAAGATATAGCAATTTAGATGTCTACTAAACACATTCCTTGATGGCATTTGGAGATTAGCGTTAGCCCTGATTTGCATTTACAATTTCTCCTCTCACAGGGGCAAAATTCCTTCAAGAGTTTTTAAACTATTTTCTTTTTTTTAAGGGAGCAGAGGCCGATCATCTTCTGATTTTATATTTGAGTATGTCCATCTTCTGGTCTTATATTTTGATATAGGGGTGTAAGATATTGAAGTCAGGGAGGCTGGTGGACCTCCATGATCTTGAATATATCATAGTGGGATTTGGGTCTTGGTGACAATGCATTTAGGGATTTTTTATCCTGGCAATGGAGAAAAATAGAATTCCATGTGAGTTCTTACTTTTGGTCTATTGACAGAGATTGGTCATACATCTCATTATATTTTGTAGCTTTTTGCTTTGAAATATATAAATAATGATTTATTATTTTTTTTTTAACGTGAGTTAATTTCAGAAAAGATCTTTTTCCCAAGTACTTCCCTTTAAACACGCCTCATTGAAACCTAACACTTCTATGGCACTAAACATTAGCATTTTGTTATGAAGGATATGCTTATACAAGAAAATGAAATATATGCTGCATAATTCTGCTTTTATTACACCCCAAATGGGAGCACCAATTTTAAAACTGGAAATTTAAGTTTCTCCCATACTAAGAGACAGATGTGTGGTATCATTTTCTCTGCACCGAACTGTATCAAATACTGCAATCAAATTTCTTATATTTCCAAAGTGCTAATAAAAAAATGTCTATTGAGTGTGTTTTGTTAAACCGTCTGAACCGTAAGTCCACACAGCATAATGAAGCGTTATGATACAAAATATTTCATTTAAAAAAAAGTCTTTAAAGGTAAAAAGGCACTGCAAACGTATACATTGGTTTGGGAAAGTCGAACCGAGCTGTAAATATTCTCTGACTATGAGAATACTTATGGGGTTTACCCGCTTAACAACAAATTGTTGTGAAACGAAGACTGAATTGCAAAATATAGGCAAAAAAGCGGATTACAAAACCGTCTCCAACTCAACTATACATGTCAACATGACTGTTTTAGTCTAAATTTTGCCGTTTGGTTTGAAGTTCATGACAAATTAATGTTTAGCGAATTAACATCCTCTGTGCTTTTAATGCTAGCGGTAGCACGAGAATGGGCATTGTACAAAGTATGAATAATATGCTAGATTGAAGATCCAAATGCAGAAAACAGTCTGGGTCTTGGAAGCTGAAAACAGGTGTCGCTGAGAAGAATTTGGACTAATTTAAAATATTAATATACAGTATCTGGTTATTATATAAAGTAGTAAAATATCTGCTTATATTCTGCAATAAGGGCTGTAGTGCTATATAGGAGCTCATCATGTACTGTTTCTTGCCGTTTTCACCTGCAAGCTCTAGGTTTGCCATCTGGTTGCAGAGGAAACCATTTTTTTCACTTTGTAGGGTTTTTGCATATACAGGTGACACTCGAAAAATATATCGTGTAAAAGTTCATTTATTTCAGTAATGCAACATAAAAGGGGAAACTAATATATGAGATAGATGCATTACATGCAAAGCAAGATAGTTCAAGCCGTGACTTGTCATAAGTGCGATGATTATGGCTTACAGCTCATAAAAAACCCAAATCCACAATCTCAGTAAATTAGAATATTGTGAAAATGTGCAATATTCTAGGCTCACAGTGTCCCACTCTAATCAGCTCAGTAAGCCATAACACCTGCAAAGGGTTTCTGAGCCTTTAAATGGTCTCTCAGTGTGGTTCAGTAGGAATCACAATCATGGGGAAGACTGCTGGCCTGACAGTTGTGCAGAAAACCATAATTGACACCCTCCATAAGGAGGGAAAGCCTCAAAAGGTAATTGCGAAGAAAGTTGGATGGTCCCAAAGTGCTGTATCAAAGCACATTAATAGAAAGTTATGTGGAAGGGAAAAGTGTGGAAGAAAAAGGTGCACAAGCAGCAGGGAAAAGGCCATTCAAATGTGTTGGGGACTTTCACAAGGAGTGGACTGAGGCTGGAGTCAGTGCATCAAGAGCCACCACACACAGACGAATCCTGGACATGGGCTTCAGATATCGTATTCCTCTTGTCAAGCTGCTCCTGAACAACAAACACCAGAAGCATCTTACCTGGGCTAAAGAAAAACAGACCTGGTCTGTTGCTCAGTGGTCCAAAGTCCTCTTTTCTGATGAGAGCAACTTTTGCATCTCATTTGGAAACCAAGGACCCAGAGTCTGAAGGAAGAATGGAGAGGCACACACTGCAAGATGCTTGAAGTCCAGTGTGACGTTTCCACAGTCTGTGTTGATTTGGGAAACCATGTCATCTGCTGGTGCTTCATCCACTGTGCTTCATTAAGTCCAGGGTCAACGCAGCCGTCTACCAGGAGATTTTGGAGCACTTCATGCTTCCTTCTGCAGACGAGCTTTATGGGGATGCTGATTTCATTTTCCAGCAGGATTTAAAAGCTGACCACACTGCCAAAAGCACCAAAGCCTGATTCAATGACCGTGGGATTACTGTGCTTGATTGGCCAGAAAACTCACCTGACCTGAGCCCCATAGAGAATCTATGGGGCATTGCCAAGAGAAAGATGAGAGACATGAAACCGAACAATGCAGAAGAGCTGAAGGCTGCTATTGAAGCATCCTGGTCTTCCATAACACCTCAGCACTGCCACAGGCTGATAGCTTCCATTCCACGCCGCATTGAGGCAGTAATTGCTGCAAAAAGGGCCCAAACCAAGTACTGAGTCCATATGAATGCTTATACTTTTCAGAGGTCCGATATTGTTCTATGTACACTCCTTGTTTTATTGATTGCATGTAATATTCTAATTTACTGAGATTGTGGATTTAGGGTTTTCATGAGCTGTA